GTTGGAAGCTGTTTTGTCTCAGGACCTATAATACTTCGCTCCAAGCTCTTCTCAGTTGGATGGTTTGTGTTGAGAAGTCTGCTGTGATTGTGATAGGTGATCTGTTTTTTTTCCCTAGCAGCTTCTAATATTCTGTTCTTTTGCTGGATATCTAGGACCTTGATTATTATATGTCTGGGTGTGGTTTTATTTTGGTTGTGGATAGTTGGGGTTCTATATGCCTCATTTACCTCTACTTCAGAATTTCTTTCCATGCTTGGGAAGTTTTCTGCTATTATTTCTGTAAGTATTCTTTTTATATCATTTGTGTTGCCTCCTGCTATTTCATTGACTGCTATCAGTCGTACATTATTCCTCTTTGCCTCTTCTTGCAGCTGTTGGATTGATTTTTCCTGGTTCCATGTTGATTTTACAAGATCCTTTCTTTCATGATCGCTAGCTGCCATGCTGTCTTCAAAATCTGAAATTCTATTTTCAGCCTCATTCAAGTGGTTTTGCCAGCTTTCAGTGGAAGCTTTGATTTCCTGGATATCTCTTTGAATCTGCTTCATGCATTCTAATTCATTTCTATGTTTCTCATTTAACATTTCTGTCTATTGCCTATTTTCAGCTCTTTTTTTATATGTTTCTTCTTTAGATGTGCTGAGTAGTTCTTTCATTATTGATGTCATTTCATTTTTTGCCTGAGAGATTATTTCTGATCTGATCTCTTCTATGGCCATTATTTTTTCACTTCCATTGCAATCATTTCAGCAATTTCAGGAGTGTGTTTACCAAGTTCTGCTATGTTGACATCTCCTGCATTTGTTCTGTGAGGGGTGGAGTTCTGAGATTCCGTTTTAGTCCTTCGTCTTGTCATGTTTGATGTTGGTGGTAAAGGGCTCAGTCCTTTTCCTCCCTGTCAGCTCAGCAAAGGTCACTAACCTCCATAATTTTCCTGGTGGTCAAACTTGCCCCCTCAGTGGCCGCTGGGGTGTGCTGCTTAGTCTGGGTTCTTCCAGAAGATGGTGAAGTTTACCTAGTTCTCCCAGGTCTCAGATTCCAATCACAGTGTTGTCAGGTCACAGATAATCTGATCCAGTGTCTCCTTTGAGCTCAGGGCATGAGTATGAACCAGAAGTGGTCTGCACTGGTGGCATGATCACAGCTTGGTCATGTGACTCCAGGGAGTCCAGGGCGAAGGTAGAGCCCAGAAACGGACTGCAGGGTCTGCAGTTCGTGGACTACCTGATTCTGTGTCTGCAGGCCTTCACCGCAAGCACAGGAGCCAGAGGTAGGCTGTGCTGGCAGTGATCACAGACCACCTGTTTCCGCGCTCCCGCCCAGATGCAAACTCTGGAACCCAGACACAAATCGCAGCTTCAGCAGTTTCCTGGGCTACCTGCTGTGGGGCTTCATGTGTCTCTGGGTGTGCGTCTGGGTGCCCCTCACAAACCCCCTTGTTAGCAGGATTGTGGGTCCCTTGAGACAGTCTCCTGTGTGTCCTGGGCACATGGAGGGTGGAGACACAGACTGCAGTGGCAGCAGCCTTCTGGTATGGCTGCTCTGTTCCCAGGAAGTAGATGGGGGTGCTACCTGGTTCTCACTGCATTCAGCTGTGAACTGTGGTGTGAGCAGATCCTGGGCCTTCTGATTCTGTGCCTGCTGGCTACTCGCGGCACGCACAGGACCTATACAGGAATTTCACTGGCCGAGATCAGAAACTGCCTAGTTCCTGCTCCCGCCCAGATGCGAACCCTGGAACCCAAACGTGAATCACGGCTTCAGCAGTTTCCTCAGCCACCTGCTCTGGGGATTCACCTGTCTCTGGGCATGTGCACACGGGGGTGCCCCTCACAAACCCTGGTGTTAGCGAGTTTGTGAGTCCCTTGAGACAGTCTCCTGTGTGTCCCCGGTGCGTGGAGGGCGGAGACACAGATTGCCCATAGTATGGATTTGGTAGGTCAAGATTCAGTGATACTGACAATATCACAGTGCGTTTCTAATGTAAATATATTGTGTAGGTGTTATGGTTTATGTCGGTGTGTCCCCTCCAAAGCCTCATGCTACCATGGGGCAGGCTATTAGAGTTGAATGATTGTGGGTGTGAGAGCTACACCCGCCCTGGGGTGGATAGTTTGCATATGTAAGGGAGAGGAAAAGAGTGCTTGAGGACATTCCTCCCCTATTCCTCCCTGGTGTGTGGTTGCTGCTTTGGCTGCGTGTTGCTGCCTTGACCTGCAGCCCTCTGCCATGTGCCACTCTGCCTTATAATCTGCCAAGTACGGACTGAAACCTCCACAAACTGTAAGCGAAATAAACCTTTCCTTCCTTCATTTTGGGTGTCAGGTATTTTGTCCCATCAGCGAGAAAAAAGTAACCAAGACGTAGGTGAAGGTTGATGGTTAAATTATCTGTTTTATGTCTTCTTTTTTTTCTAGCTGTTTCAGTCTCACATGGCATCAAAACTTGCATCCATGCCCTCACAAGTATCCAGTGGTGAACAGAGAGTGAGTCTACCTTTTGCAGAGATCATATATTGTTCTCTCCTTGCTACGATTTCAAAATAACTCGGGGGATTTGCAGACGTTTATGGAAGAGGCTTTTGTTTATGATTACCTTGAATGTGAATTTTTCTGTTAATTCAAGAGAAATATCAATTAATTGTTGTTAACTGTTGAATATCTACAATATTCTTGTACTTTTTGACATTAAGCAATCTTTTTCTTGTTTTTCATTTTGGGGGATCTGTTTTTGGCATCATGCAAACTAGAATGCCAAATGTCTCAATAGCATCCCATAGAAAGACTAGCACTACTTTTGCAGAGCACATTGCAAATTGTGGAGAGGCAGAGAGTTGTGGGTGTCAGAGTGCAGGGAGCCACTGGGTGACCCCAGCCAATGCTACCTGCTGTGAGATTAGACCTTATGCTTCCAAAGGTCTTTCAGTTTGTGTAGTAAAGATGGTTTTTGTAACTCATATTGAAAGTTATGTTTTAAAAGAGGGTAAGTTTAACTAGATAAGAGGTATGTTGTTCATTGAAACAAAATTTCAAGCACAAGCACGTTAATAAAATTGACTAATTTCCTTTAGTTCTGTGTTCCAATAATTGTAGTTTTTTGTTTCTCTTCCTCCATACATTCCAGGGTCCCCACAGTTTTGATAAATCTGAATTTGACCACCATACTGCCATCCTTTTCTCCCAGTAATTGGTAATAACAGTTTCTTCTATCTTTATTACCTTACAGACTTTCTGAATTACTCTTCATCTGCCTTCTAACTCATTGCTTTGTTGAGACTAGTGTCAGTCACCACTGTCTTTAGTGACAGATCCATGGAGTAGCTGTGGCTTAGTTTCATTTGCTCTGATGCTGTCGCTGCATTTAAATCACGGATACCACACCTTCATTTTTTAAATGCTTTTTTTGGTCCTGTGACATTAAAAAGGATGTGATTTTACATGGGCAGGGAATTCTAGAGGCCATTTAGTTTAACCTTGGTGTAAAAAACTCTAGCAAATGTTCTAATCTTGAGTACATTCATGGGAAGCGTAGTGCTTTTTCACTCCCTTTGTAAAAAATGATAACAGTAACATGCTTACATGAGAGTCACAAGGCACTAAAGATAATGTAGTGTACTAATTTCCTGTTGCTGCATGACACATTATCATGAACTTAGCTGTTTTAAACAGTGACTGTTCATTGTCTCCCAGTTCTACAGGTCAGAAAGTCAGGCACAGCTCACACCTTCTCTGCTCAGTCTCATGCCTATGGTATCAATTTTTCTGGCTTCTTGTGTGGATCTGCCTTTCCAGGCTCTTTTAGATTATTGGTAGAATCCACCTCCTTGTGGGCTTAGGTGTCATCAACTCAGAGACCACTCCTGGCCCTTTGCCATCCCTTGTAGAAGCTGGGAAGGAAGAACTTGCCTTGAGTCCCCTTATGCTTCCTGTGTGTCCCATTTGTTCTTTCTTTTTTTTTTTCCTGTCTTCTTTGGATCAATGTTTTTATCATTCCACTTTATTTCTACTATTTATTAGCTATCACTTTTTGTCTTTCAAAATAGTAGTTGATCATATTTAATGACTAAATTCTCCATTTTATTAGTGTTTATGCCATAGTTTATTTGGGCATTTGCCTGTTTTGGGAAGCCAAATATTTTAATGTTATAAATTGTGCTGGACTCTTGTTGTTTAAAGGGGATAAGAAACATGTTTTGAGTTTCTAAATGAATTCTCACAAATTTTCTTAATCACTTGTATCCCAGGTGAGGGAGAATGATTATAAAATCTCTAATCTCTTTCATAATTGTACTTACCCTTCAAATACACCTATTCCTATTTCAGTCAAGTTATTTTAATTGTTGCTCTCATTTTTATTTTCCTTCAGAAAAGAGAAACTATTCGTTCCTTGACTATGTGTGGTCATGTTGGTTTTGAGAGTTTGCCTGATCAGCTTGTCAATAGATCCATTCAGCAAGGCTTCTGCTTCAACATCCTCTGTGTGGGTGAGTGCCAGCATCTTCTCCTGAGTGTTTCCCTCAAGGGCCTTGCATTCACTTTTTCTCTGTATGGGTAATATGATGTTCATGTTATCATCTGAGATCATGGTCCCAGGGATTTTCTAAGTTTAAATTCTGTTAGGTTTTCTCTTTTTAAGCTTTCATGCTTTTGTTTGTTCTGTAAACATTTTAGTGCTCTTGAGTTCTGAGTAACTTAGCATTCCTCTGGTCTGTTAATGGTTTAAGAACAACCTTAACATTAAGACAACCCAATCTTTGAAATATTTGAAATCCTTGAAGCTACTCTATGAGTTTACAGTTACAGTTGTTTTCAGTCATGCTATGCACTTGTGAAGTTGGTACCTTTGTTTCTTTCAGGAGAGACTGGAATTGGAAAATCAACACTGATTAATACACTGTTTAATACTAATTTTGAAGAACATGAATGCTCACATTTTTGCCCCGATGTTAAACTTAAAGCTCAGACATATGAACTCCAGGAAAGTAATGTTCGGTTAAAACTGACCATTGTGAATACAGTGGGATTTGGTGACCAAGTAAATAAAGAAGAAAGGTATGTGGGGTTTTATTGTAATAAAGCAAGTTCTCTTATTTCATTATCAAGGTATTTGCCTTTTTGCTCCTTGATCTAGCTGTGATCTGGATTCCTTATGGTAATACCTTTCCTCTCAGATATTAATGATTTTTAACAATTAAGCAATGTTTTGTTATTAACAACTTGACATTTTTGTATTCAATTGTCTAATTTCTTTGAAATAATTTGAATCACATTATTAAACTGTGTATTTGATATTCAGTGATCAGTACTGAATTCAGATAGGACTTACCTTGTTGATGAAAAAATAATACAAGGCCCCACCCTGCTCCTTTGGGACAGGGAAGCAACGCGGGAGCTGCCCCATTGCTGTGGACCTTTCCATTGGCGGGTGAGGCCTGTGCAGATGCCCCATCCTGCTCCTTTGGGGCAGGGAAGCAATGCGGGAGTGGCCCTGTGTCTGCAGACCTCTGATTTGGGAGGTAAGGCCTGCCCTCCCTCTACCAGCCACCTGAGGAACCAGAGCAGTGACCCCTCACTGCCACCATTGGGTTTACGGCTGAGGCACACACGTTTTCCACTGATGGTCTGGAGACCCTGGTACTGAAGGCCAGCATTCCCCAACCATTGCAGTTGGGTCTGAGCCATGCACCCTACCAATTGCCTGGGGTTCCCGGGCACAGTGGTCCACTGCCCCCTACCACCTTGAGATGAGTCTGATATCCAGGTAATCTAAGGTCCCTAGAGACCTTCAGTGAGCTTCCTGGGTAGTGTTTGGCTCAGCACTTTCCATATGACATCCAAAAGGACAAGACATAGGAGCAAAATGCAATCTCAGAACTCAACTCCACCCAGAACAAGTCCAGGAGACACTGACATAGGAGAACTTGGAAGTCACATACCTGAAATCTCTGAAATGATCACAACTGAAGTAAAGAAACAACTCCAACAGGCCATAGAAGAAATCAGATCAGAAATAATCACCCAGGTAAAAAAAGAAATGACATCAATAATGAAAGAACTGCTCAGCACATCTAAAGAAGACATATACAAAAAAATAAATGAGCATAGGGAAACAATGGAAACATTAAATGAGCAATACAGGTCAGAACTAGAATGCATGAAACAGATTCAAAGAGATATCCAGGAAATCAAAACTTCCACTGAAAGCTAGCAAAACCACTTGAATGAGGCTGAAGATAGAATCTCAGATATTGAAGAAAGTATGACAGCTAATGATCATGAAAGGAAGGATCTCTTAAAATCAACAAGGATCCAAGAAAAATCAATCCAACAGCTGCAAGAAGAGGCAAAGAGAAATAGTGTAAGACTAATAGGAGTCAATGAAACAGCAGGAGGCAACACAGACAACTGTGGTGTGGGAAAAGAGAATGGAAAGAAGGGGAAATTATGTAAGTATTTATATTCAGGACTGTCTTCTATTGCTCTACAGAAAGGAACAGTTAATGATTACTTGTTTGATCAATCTTGTATGTCTCTGTTTGTTTTCTTGAGAAACCACTTTGAAGATATCAGTAAGTAATACAACAATTGTTAATTTCATACAACTTTGTCTGTAACTGTTTTGTTTGTGTTGTTCTCATGCTATTTTGTAAATGAGTGTCTGTTAGTATGTTTTCCTTCTTTCATTTCTTAAAATTAAAAAAAAGAAAAGAAAAAATAATTATTTGCTTATTTTTATTGCAATTTTTATGTCAAATACACACTTAAAGATTAATTTTTACTGTTATTTTGGGAAGAGGATTCTTTTTTTTATTTTAAAAATAAAAGGAGGAAAACATTAACAGACAGACAACCATTTACAAAATAGCAAAAGAACAGTACAAACAATACAGAGATACAAAGTGGTAGGAAATTAACAATGCTTGTTGTATTACATATTGATATCTTCAAAGTGGTTTCTCATGAAAACAGAGAGATGCAATATTGATCAGTCAAGGACTCATTAACTGTTTCTTTCAGCAAAGAAATAGAAGACAGTAGATCAACTATGTTAACTATCCTGTATATACATACATACAAAATTTCTCCTTCTTTCTCTTCTCTTATCTCACATCCCAGTTGCCCTTTACCATTGAGCGTTTTCCTTTCATTTCACAATGTCTGTAATACCTGAGTTTTTATTCACTCTTTCAGGTTTTACACTAGTGAGACAATGAGGTGCTTGCACATGCAAGGTCTCATTTATTTCACCTACGAGTACAGTCTCTGGTTGTGACCATTTACCTATGAAAGCCTCAAGTTTACCTTTCTTTATAGCTGAGTAATATTCCATTATATAAAACTACCACAATTTTTTTATCCAATCCTCAGTGGATGGACATTTGGGTTGTTTCCACAATTTAGCAATTACAAATTGTGCTGCTATGAACATGGCTGCACATGTATCGCTGTGATATGATGTTTTTAGATCTTCTGGGAAAATACCCAGAAGGGGAATAGCTGGGTTGAATGGGACCTCTAGTCCTAGTTTGCTGAGGAATCTCCAAACTGATTTCCACAGTGGTTTCACCAGTCTGCATTCCCACCAGCAGTGGAGAAGAGCTCCTATTTCTCCACAGCCTCACCAGCATTTGTTATTGGTTGATTTCTTAATGTTAGCCATTCTTACCAGGGTAAGGTGAAATCTCAATGTTGTTTTAATTTGCATTTCTCAAATGACTAATTATGTTGAACATTTTCTCATGTATTTATTTGCCATTTGTATTTCATTATCTGAGAAGTGTGTATTCATCTCGGCTGCCCATTTTTGGATTGGGTCTTTGAATTTGGGGAGGCTGATATTTTTTAATTCTTTGTATGTTGTAGATAGAAGTCCTTTGTCTGAGGGACAGTCAGCTAAAATTTTTTCCAAGTTTGTGGGTGTTCTTTTTATTCTGCTGGTGATATCTTTAGATGTGCAGAAACTTTTCAGTAGGGTGAGATTCCAGTTGTTGATTCTTTCAGGTGTTTCCCATGCAGTTTGTTTTTTGTTCATGAACTGTCTACTCCTATGTCTTCAAGGTTTTTACCTACTTTCTCTTCCAATAGATTTAGTGTTTCTGTTTTATTGAGATCTGTGATCCATTTTGACTTGAGTTTAGTGCATGGTGATAGACTTGGGTGTATTTTCAGTCTTTGGCAGGTGGCAAGCCAATTTTTCCAGCACCATTTATTAAAGAGGCTATCATTCTTCAAGAGTTTGTTTGGCCCCTTTATCAAAGATTAAATGGTTGAGTGTGTTTTTGGTTGTGGCTGTTTAGAAAGAGGATTCTTTTGGGTCACATTCAGACTGGGTTCCTTAGGGTCACTTGCAGGTGTTCATAATAATCATTCTGCTAATGAAATGAGTTCTTCAAGTATTAAGCGATTATGCTAGTTCTTATAGAAAACACAGAATCATAAGATATTGTCTTTGTCCTCACCTTGTTTACCATCTCAGTAGGGAAAACGGCATACTGTAGGGTTTTAAAAGGTAGTGACCCTAAGGACTAGAATTGTCAGGCAATTTGCCATTCAATTCTATCTACTTTACTGAGTACGTTAGCTGCACAAGGTGCTGCTCTGCTGTGGGGTGACAATATTACAAAGGTGTCCAGGGGATTTGAGGTAGGAGATACTTGCTGTTATCACTATTGTTTTCATCTGGAAGCCTAGATTTGTTCAATGAGGAGAGTTACAGTAAAAAGGTAAGTTGTATAGGCAATGATTTAACATGTTAGATTGAAGTGGAATGTTCACAACTAATCAAACTAATGTAACACTTTGCCCATGCAGTGTGATTTAATTTGCATCCTGAAGAAAGAATAGTTTAAACAGCCAGAAGAAGGGTAGTATTCTAGGGACAGGTGATCTGAACAAGGGCTTGAGAAGAGTTTGTGATTGGCCTTGCCTTTGTTTATAATTAACTGAAAATAAAACCATACCAGCCAGGCGTGGTGGCACATGCCTGTAATCCCAGCACTTAGGAGGCTGAGGCAGGAGGATCATTGCAAGTTCAAGGACAGCCTGGGCTACAAAGTGAGTTCAAGACCAGCCTGAACTGCATAGTGTGACCCTGTCTCAAAAAGACAAAAAACAAAAAAAAAAAACCCATGCCAGCATTACCTCTTAGATACTTTTCACAGGCATATGCCTTTCCTCTTTACGATGTTAATGCTTTTTATTACAAGGTCAGTCTTTGACTTTAGTTGATAACTATACCTTTTCTTAGTTAAACAATATGCTGTGTACCAGTTTGGTTGCAAATTAGATTCCTAGTTTCTTTGAGCAGTCTGGCAAATGTTGGTACCTTTGTTAGAACCCAACTTGAATGGATATAAGGATAAATCATAAATTCAATACTGTTCCAAGTATAGGTTGTTCTGATGGCTGGAAATACTACCTTTGTGATTGCCCATTCTACAGGTTATGTTCTGTCACTAAAGTTATCTGTTTAGCATAAATACCAGTTGTTTATTAATTGATAAAGATACATACCTCAAATTTGAGAGTTGTACAAATATCTTAGAAGGTAGCATAGATATATGTTGCATTGTATTTAAATAATGATCTTTTCAGCTACCAACCCATTGTTGACTACATAAATGCTCAGTTTGAAGCCTATCTCCAAGAAGAACTGAAGATCAAGCGCTCTCTCTTCAACTACCATGATTCTCGAATCCACGTGTGCCTCTACTTCATCACCCCCACAGGCCACTCTCTGAAGACACTCGACCTCTTAACCATGAAGAGCCTGGACAGCAAGGTAGGGTAGGAAAGGAATCAACTTACTGGACTTTAATGTGTTTGTTAACTGTTAAATTATCTCTGTGATAGATGTGTATAGTATGTATAGTAGTAGCCATATATGTGTGTGTGTGTATATATATATATATATATATGCCATATATACATAGTTATAGTAGCTTTTATTCTGTGCATCTTTATAACATCTGACAAGTTTATATCATATTTTCTAGAGTAATTAAGTGGAAAATGAGAGGCAAAGAAGAAACATTAAAATAAAATTTTAGCTCCTTTTTTAGTGATTAAATTACATGCCAGGTCATGGGAATTTTCTATATTTTTTATGCAAGATTTATTTGACACTAATTTCATTTCATGACACTGTTAAGTAAGAAGAATTTCATTGGCCAAGATTAAGATGTAATGTTTTATCCCATCTAATAGCAACGTGTTTTAATTTGGACCAAACTAAGATACCTACTTTTGAATTTTTTGAGTCAAGGAGCTATGTATAAATACAGAGAGTTATTCAAAAATATCTATTCATTAACTCACTTCAGATTCTTATATTTGTTTAAAAGATGGGTAAAGACTAGTTATTATCTTACATTAAAGGACAAATACCTCAATCTCAAATGGTTTGAGAAATGCAACTTTCATGACCCAACCTACACAATGTGTGAGGTAGTGTTTAAAATGTAAGGAGTTTGGGGTGTTCTGCTTCTTGACAAAAATGGAGATGGAAAGTGTGAGGCCTGCTAGTGAAGCCTGAGCACATAGGTTGATTGCTTTTGGCAGTCTCTGGAATTTAGCAAAACTTGATGAAGCTGGTATAACAGATATATTCCTTTAGTGGATATTCAGGAACTAACAGAAAAGAGAGTGAGCACTTGTCCCACACGCCACCCTGTAGACTCTTGTAACACCTAGCTGTAAATTCATAATTCACACCACCAAAGGGTGTGCAGATATTACAGTATTACCTTTCTAACAGTATTATATTTCATTCAAACAAAAATGAAGCGTTTTGTAGTTATGGTAAAAGGTCATCTACATCATGAACGCGCTTGATTGTCACTACGCTTTTCTGTTTTATTCATTTGGTGGGGGAGAACTGGAATTGGGACTCCTTTATCATAATCCTTCCTTTAACTTTCTGTGGTATAAATCAAATGGGAATAGTACAACTGATCTTTCTTGTAGGTTTAAGGAAAACATTGAGATATGCCTCAGTTACTTGATTTGGCACTTAATACATGGATATACAGTACTATGTATTTTTGTAGGGGCAGCTGTTACCTATAAGCCACCTGGCAGGTGTAGGGACATCATGCTTTGCGCAGAGCACTGGATAATGTTAGGTCACCAGGCCTCCTCCAGACCATTCTCTTCTGTTCTTAATGTCAATTACTTGAGTACTTGACATAGAAAGTTACTTTATCCTTTGCAAATGGAGCAAGTGACCATCTTTGATAACACCTGTTTTTTTCCCTCCGATGGACATGTAAACAGTGATGTTTAACGGCCAATCTCCTACAGTTTATTGTGGAAGTAATTATTAGTTAATAACTTGGCTCATTTCATTGAATATCTAAGTATAGAATATTGAAACCAAGGACTTGGCATCAAAATGTGTATGTACAGTGAGTAATTTAACATGTGACTTGTTTACTCATGATTGTTAGAAATTTTTCTGCCATTAATTTTATAGATAGTTGGAAAAATGTTTATCTCCTTTGGGGCATGTGGGAAGCCAATATATCCAAATAGATACACTGAATCTGTGAAACTGAAGAAAACAGAAAAATTTAAGAATAGAATAAGAATTACAAGTATTACTTTTACTTTTATTATTCTGAACATTGCATTGTGATCTCACTCTCTGTTTTACTTTTTCTCATTGCTGGGATAAAATACCATACACCCAGAGTTAAAGGGGGAAAGATTTACTATAGCTCACAATCTGTTTCAGTTTAACAGTTTGCTGGTTCCAAGGCAGGGTGACCTGGCAGAGGAGCATTGCAGAGGAAAAACAGCAAAGTAGCACAGAAGCAGCAGCAAGTGACAACAGCAACCCACTTTCTGCCCCTTATAGTCTGTCTAAGCTAAATGCCCTCAGGTCGCACTCACCTAGGGAGGGCCTTTCCATTATCCACACTCAGAATTATGCCAAAGCAATCAGTGGACTACTCTAGTACTCATATACTTAATCCAAGCATCACATACTCTAGATCCAGCCACCTCTGAAAAGTTCCACCTGTGACCACATGAGGCTATAGGGGGACATCTAAACACAAGCCATAACACTTCCTGACACTTGTGACTGGTTAACCTAAGGTTTTTGCTTAAAAAATAAAAAGCAATCCCAAACTGTGCAGGCATCAATCTTTTGTGGGACATTAATCTCTTACAGCAGTAGATTTATTAAGTAAGTCAGTCTTCTCAATCCCACCTCCCTTCCTTTCTGGCAGTGATGGGAGTTAGTACTTCTGAAGAAGTTATTCCTTTGTATCAGGAACACTTTGAGTTGGTATTGGCAGAGTTTCCTTCCTGTGCCACTGAGGTAGGTGTCTTTGACGATGGCATGCCGACAGGGGTGGAGTCAGGGCTAAAACAGGTAGAAAGAGAATTGTCACCTGTTGCTTAGTTTTGCCAATAGATCAGTTACCCTAACTATGTGGTGCTTAGATTACTAAGAAATAAATATTCTTAGTGAATTAAGCAGATGATTTCAGCTGTTTATTACATTTTACTTATTTTGTGTATCATTGAATTGTAAGAGACCAAGGGAGAGAGTAGAAAAAGTGAGACTTTTTAGTATATATGCTGCCGAAGCAAGCATGAAAAAATGAGACTTTTAAACCTAAACTTAACTGAAAGATGACTCTTAAAAGGGCTCTTCTTTTTAAAAGCAATTATTATAAGACCCACATCTATAGAAATGATTGTGTAGTGTGTGTGTGTGTGTGAGAGAGAGAGAGAGAGAGAGAGAGAGAGAGAGAGAGAGAGAAGAGGGAGGGAGGGAGACAGTGCAAGCAATAGCCAGAACTTATCAAGGTCAGAGGGATGTGCACTTCCTCTACAAAGGACTAGACAGTAAATTTCAGGCCTTAGGACCATAGGTCTCTGGCAACTACTCATCCCTGCTGTTTTTAGTGGAAAGCAATCATGAATGCTATCTAAATGAAGGGGCTCAGTGGCATTCTAGTAAACTTTCTTTATAAAAGCAGTCAGCAAGCTGGACTATAGTTCTCAAGTCCCTGATCTGGGGTAAGGAAATTTATTATCAGTGACTGAGTGGTTTTGACTGATGTGAATAATAACTATAGGATTAAAAACAAATGCTCAATGGTGAGATTTTGTGTTTTTTTCTTGTTAATAGGTGAATATTATACCAGTGATTGCCAAAGCCGATACAATTTCTAAAACAGAATTACAGAAGTTTAAGGTGAAGCTCATGAGTGAGTTGGTCAGTAATGGTGTCCAGATATACCAGTTCCCAACTGATGATGAGACCATTGCCAAAATCAGTGCTGCAATGAATGTGAGCTCCTTCTGGAACGCTAAGTTTGCTTCACATGTGAAAATAAAGCTCTTTATGACTAATGTTTCTGCTCCCATATCTGCCTGATTTGAGGTTTTTGCTTCCTGAGGTTTTACTTACCCATTCAACTGCATACTGAAAATATTAACTGGAAAATTCCAAAGCTAGATAACCCATAATTTTATATCATGTGCCATTTTGAATAGTATGATGGTATTTCATTACCTAGGTATTTTATCAACTCACATCATCACAAGAAGGGTGAGTGTAGTACAATAAGAGATTTGACAGAGAAACCAGATTCGTGTAACTTTTATTACAGTGTGCCGTTATGTCTGTTCCGTTTCTTACTAGTTAGTCTCAATCTTTGGTCGTGTCTAATTAGTGAATTAAATTCATATGTATATATAGGGAAAGTGTATACATAGTCTCAGTATGGTGGTAGACCAACCAGGTTGAGGCATCTACTGGGGATCTTGGGCAGAGGAACAACTGTAATATATTTTTACATGGGTCTTCCAGAAAGACTTCCAACAAGGTAAAATTTCAAAAATCCCAGAAGGGGAGTGAAACATTTTATTTTAAATTGGAAAGGGGATTTTTGAAGCATGTTTTCTTTCTTCTTACTTTCACCTGAATAAAGTGATATATTTGTGAGACAGGGATATATCTTTTATGGAACCATATTTAGTTACTTGGAAAGATGCCTTTCCTATTTGAACACATGGGAAGATTGTGCAGCCTGCTGTGGATGCTGTAGAACCTCAAGTATTTGAGGAATTTCTTGAAGCTGATATTTAGTCTCACCTTCTACAATGTCAGTGTACCTGGGAAGCATCCACCTGACTTTTAACTAAATGTAACTAAGATGACCAAGGTCTTTATTTTACTTTCTTCCTGGAAAATATGGAAACATTTCTTAAGTGTCTGGTTGTATTCTGAAGGGTTGTGGTCTGGGAACTCGAGGAGATTGTGGGAATTATTGATTTCCCTGAGACTAATAACTTATATATAAGATTAGGTCAGCAGTACTCATTATAATGGTTGTGTGAGGATTAAATGGTGTACCCTTGGTTATGTGTCTACTTGGAAAATTACAGAAATAAATACTCCATAAACATTTAGTTACTGTGCATTCCCTTTCTTCCCTTTTCCTTTTTAATTTTTCATACTCCATTTATACTAAGAAATTTAAACTAAATCTATAAAAGCCTGACATGTAAATAAAGTGGTCTTGATTTCTACATGTTGAATTGTTTTTATATCTAATTTTATTTCTTGTATTCTCCTGTAATTATTTTCAGAAAGATACAACTAAGAAACTAAACAATATCAGTTACTAAATAGTAAATGTAGTACCTATACTTTTTACATTAGACTTTTCCCCTATATTGATCCTCAATTTCAGACAGACTCATTTGAGTCTAGCCCCTGACTCAAGCTGTTTCATCTCATTCAAATCTCATTCTCTACACTGCTTCTTCCCACTCTGCTTCATCCGGTAAATTCCATCCTTCCTAGTCTAATTTGGTTTATACCTTCCTGCTCCTAGTGATCTTCTTTTAGTTTCTATTACCTTTATTTGCATCAGTTTTGAACGTGTTTTTTAATTTTAAAGAGAGAAAAAAAAAAACAAAAAAAATAACAACCATGAAAACAAAAACAAAACAATACAAAAACAGTAAAAATGATACAACATTTCAAAACAAGATGATAGGAATTAACAAATGGTTGTTATATTGCATATTGTTATCTTCAACAAAGTTGCTCAGATTACCAGATGTAAGAATTCAAGATTGATCAATTAAAGATAGTAACAAGTAATAAAAAAATTAGAAACAATACACAGCTTCACTAAACAAGATGGTAGGAATTCAGCAATGGTTGTTATATTGCATGTTGTAGTCTTCAAATTAGTTGTTCCGATTACCAGATATAAGCATGCAAAATGAGCCAAGAGAAAAAAAAATTTAAGCATTAACTGTTCCTTTCAATAAACAATAGACATCAGCAATGCACCCTTCCCAGCTATCCTTTTATATACATACATTTTTTTCTTTTTTTTTAATTTTAAGGAGAAAATAACAAAAACAAAGGCATAAAAACATTAAACAGTAAAAATCAGTTTGGAACTTTTTATGAATGTGATCCAAAAATACGATGAGTGCTTAGTTGTATTTTTTAAGAAATTTATTACACTAAAAGATACATTGCCATTGATTCTCCCTCCCAAAAGAATACTCCCCCTCACTTCAAACACACTTACATTCCATCATTTTTATCATTTTTGTTTTGTTTTTTGTTTGCTATTGTTTTTGTCTTTTTGAGACAGAGTCTCGCTGTGCAGTTCAGGTTAGCCTTGAGCTCACTTTGTAGCCCAGGCTGGTCTCGAACTCACAGTGATCCTCCTACCTCAGCCTCCCAAGTGCTGGGATTACAGGCGTGTGCCACCATGCCCGGCCCCATTTTTATCATTTTCTGAAGCAGTCTAGAAGTCCTCTTTTGTGAATCTCTTTAGCTATCATAATATCCTGAATCAATTCAAAACATTTACCTTTCATGATAATTAACTTTGGGAAAGAGCCAGATGGTGCATGGTGCCAGATTTGGTGAATAAGGTATATGGTACACTGTAATGTTTTTAAGAGTCTGTCCTATTGGATGGTACAAGGTAACAGCATTCACTGTATTTTTTTATCACACCTTATAAAGACACTCACTAAAGAGGACTTCCATCTCTTTCCAAAAGTGGCAAGAACATTCAAGGCAAGGGATGTTTCAGAGGGATTAATAGCACTTTGTCTTTCACTGTAATAATTTGTTTAATTTAAACATTCATTGTATTGATCACTTCTTGTATGTTATTTTATATTAGAACCATATATCTACAAACACTAAATACAAATATATAGGTTTATTGTATATACTGTATAATATGTATAATTTCCTTAACATAATCTTTGTCTTTTAAGGCACAGGTAATACTGATGAAAATAACACCTACACTAAAATTCTCTGATTTTGTATTTCCAATAGTACTAGTACCTTGCATATTAAAGATGCTCAGTAGACAATTTTTTTTTAGGACCCATAATGACTCTTATAGAACAGTTTGTGTATATCCAAAACTGAGTTTAAAATCTGAGACATAGCAAGTTATTTGATTTTAATAATTTGTCACTTAGTAAAATCATTTTTAGTTGGTCAGCTCTCACACTGGTATGTCATGATGAGCTCAATTGATATGGTTCCTTTTTAGGAACATTTGCCGTTTGCTGTTGTGGGAAGTATGGATGAGGTAAAAGTTGGAAATAAGATGGTCAAAGCTCGCCAGTACCCTTGGGGTATTGTACAAGGTAAATGAAATAGCTGATGACTTGAAAATGTGTATGTTGCCTAATGTCTTAGTTACTTTTTCACTGCTAGGACAAAATACCCGACACTACAAATTAAAGGAGGACAGGTTTATTTAGCTCACAGCTTATAGAGGTTTCAGTCCATAGCTGGCTGGTTCCAAGGCAAGGTGACATGGCAGAGGGGAAACAGGCCATGGCAAGGCAGGCAGGGAGCAACCTCCCTCCTTTCCCTTTTCATTCCATTTATGCTATAAGCCTGTTGGTTGGTGCCACCCACACCCAAGATGGGCCTTCCCTCTTCAAGTAAGTGTATCATCGATACCCAGAATTATGCTAAACCAATCAGTGGACTAGTCCAGTGTTACACATTATGATTCAGTATCACACATGCATAATCCAGTCACTCCCAAAAGCTCCACCTGTGTGCACATTTAGATGTTAGCCATAACACCTAGCCCTCTCAAAGTTCCCCCTAGTCTATTATTTGTGGTGATGCTTATCTAGGGTTGTCAGAGGGCTTGGCTGCGTAGTATTCAGGTGGGGTCTGTGGAGGGAGGCAGAGCACCCCATCTGCGTTGTACGTTCATTGTGCTATGCCTCCATTCTTCCCTGACTGGGTGGACATTTTGATCACAATTTGGACTTTTTTTTTCTTTTGTTCTGGAGACCAAACCAGAGGCCTCATACATACTAGGCAAGTGCTCTACCATCAAGCTGTACCCTAGTCCTTGTTCAAAATTTGAACTTATAGTGTTAGATATGCTACATAAGCTAATTACCATTTAACTATAGGACACATTAAATGATCTTACAAACTTAGATATTTTTTCTAATGAAAGTATTGCCATACTGTTTCTAAGACAAATCCATCAACCAACTTAAAGTTAAATCTACTTGGCATTTGGATTATTTATCTGGTATTAGTGAATAATTAGTATTCCCTGGTTCATTTGATTGCCCCTATTGGCATCCAAGTGCTATTTTTTAATTGAACTTTTAAAAAAAAAATTAATGCACCATACTCAGAAAATATAAAACTTTTAATATATTAAAAATACAAAAAAGGCTGAGGCAGGAGGATTGCAAGTTTGTCATCAGCCTGGGCAACATGACAAGATAAAAAAAAGTTACACTTAAGACTTTCAGTCACAGTAATATGTATTTATTTCTAGTCCTCTGCTCATTATAAACTTAGAAAGACCATGTTAATATATTCACTAATTGTGAATACCAACAGGTTTATAAATGTAGGAAAAGAATTATGGCATGGCAAGTTATAGTTTGTAGAATTTACTACTTGGAAGTGAAATAATGTTATACTGTTTTGTTTTGTTTTGTTTTGTTTTGTTTTGTTTTGTTTTGAGACAGGCTCTTGCTCTGTAATTTAGGCTGGCCTTGAACTTACGGGCCTAAGTGAGCCCAAACTCATGGCAGTCCTCTTGCCTCAGCCTCCCAAGTGCTGGTATTACAGATGTGTGCCACCACCCCTGGCTATCTACTCTCTCTAAAGCACTGTGTGAAATGTCAGTATGATTTATAAACTACTAGCAAAATGTTAGTGAAATAACTAAAGTATATCATAATGTAATAAAGTTTTTCTTTGCTATTTCCTGATTATACATTGGCTATTAAGTTTAAAGCAAATCTCTGTTCTATTAATTAACATTGCCTATGATATAATTGTATATTGGCAGAGTTTCTTACTTGGTTACTTGTATAAAACAATTATAACTATAAATCAGAGGAATCATTTTGCTATTAATTCATATGTGTTTTAACAAGGCTATACTTTCAGGGATCAGTTCACATGTGTTTTAATTTATTTGTTCATTCAACAAATACCAGTTGTGTACTGGTGCTAAAATCCAGCATTTCTCTTTCTGGTTTCTGCCCTGCTAGTGGAGAATGAAAACCACTGTGACTTTGTGAAGCTGCGGGAAATGCTCATCTGCATGAACATGGAGGACCTGCGGGAACAGACGCACACCAGACACTACGAGCTGTATCGGCGTAGTAAACTGGAGGAGATGGGCTTTACAGATGTTGGCCCTGAGAACAAGCCCGTCAGGTAAGGGGATTTCTGGGTGGTCAGCCAAAGAAGAAGTGAGAGAGGGTTCCAAGAGAGTGCCAGAACAATGGGGATAAGTTTTTGGAAATCTCCCAGAACTATGAAATAGAATCATTAGACAATGAATGATTATTGTTCTTGAATTGCTTGACATCTTTTTGCTTTTGAAGGTTTTTAAATTCTTATCTGACTTAAAGGAGTAGAGGGAAGGGTGTACGGCAAAAACCAACTACCCAGTATTTACTGACATGAATAACTGAAGTGGAAACCCTTATTGTGTTTGTATTTATCTGAAACAGGTGAAGATATATTTAACTCTTATCACACACAAAAAAACCTTGGGCAACAAATCATATTAAATAACCTAACGATCTGCCTGTTGGTTTTTATTCTAAAGAAAGTTTTAGAATGACTGAAATTTAGCAAACACCTTGTAAGGAAAGAATGAGTGTCCTTGTAGAAGGTAGGAGATTAAATTGTTGCTTACAGTATCGCAGCATTCTTACCAGAATTTTAGGACCAAAGACCTTCCTTGTGTTGCTGTAGACTTCTTTCGAAATTTATATGGTGCTACAGCCTACTTTTTAAAAATTAACACATATACACATAAAATTCTGATCAGGTACTAAATCAGATCCAATTTATTCTTTTTGTCCTTTTTTTTTTTTTCCCCAGTACCTGGAATTGAACTCACGACCTTGAGCTTGCCAGGCAGGTACTGTGCCACTGAGCTAAATCCCCAGCCCCTCAGATCAGATTTAATGTAGCATCTTGAAATAGTTTTTGCGGGGCTGGGGATTTAGCTCAGCGGCAAAGCGCCTGCCTTGCAAGCGCAAGGTCGTGAGTTCGGTTCCCGGTACCAGAGAAAAACCAAAACCAAAAAAAAAAAAAAAAGAAATAGTTTTTGCATAGATGGAATCATGAGATCCTTCAGGTAAACTCTACTTTAGACTATTGTGAGACTAAGGACTCCTTTTCCATTGCACTATTTGCATTTGAGTCATTTCCCTACTGGTAAGACATGCACGAATGTAAACAGAACAAGAAGAAGCATGAGAATGTTCAGTTAGTGCTATGACTCCATTTGACCTTGTACAAGATTTGATCATAGATGAAGTTAAATTTTAAATTTCAGTAACATTTTAGCTTCTGGTAGATAATAAGGTGAGAATTGTTTGTATTTAATCTCTCCTCACCAAATTCAGGCATCATGTTATATTCTGGTTGTGGGCCAGTAATTCTGGTAGACCTGATGTTTTTTTTTTCATTAAAGTAGATCTTCATTAAAGATTGTCTCAAGTTTGCTTCCCTAGTGTTTCTCAAGTCTTAGGGTCAATTCAGAAGTCTGTTCTCTGAGGAATACAAATCCCAGAGCAGGCAGGACAGCTTTGGAGACCTATCCAAGAAGAAGGATCCAGGTTTCCTAGTGGATTCATCATGTAGAGGATAAAGTGCAGGGTCAGAACTTCCAGGGATCAAGCCTAGCAGTCGACATTTTTAAATGACCATTCAGTCATGTAGCCAGTAATTATTGTCTGCCGTCTGCTCAGCATGCTAGCCAGGAGGTATTTATGCACATGGGTCAGAGAGACACAGACCCTTCCCTTACAGAGCTCTGGGGTGGGTATGGAAGGAGGATATTTTGCCCCTGTGAATAAGAGAGGATGAGGCAGTCAGAAATAGAAGTGTGGAGACCAAGTCAGGAGGCCAAACAAGAGGAGACAGAGGCCTAAACACAGATGATAGTGAGAAGTGGGTGAGCACTGTGTTTAGGATATATAACGTGAAGGTCTCCAGACAGATTGGTTTGGATACAGGATATAAAGGAAATAGGAATCAAGGATAACTTCTGTCACTGTTTTTTTGTTTTTGTTTTGTTATTTTCCTGTGATGCTAGGGACTGAACACATGCTAGACAAGGGCACTACTGCTGAGATTTACTCCAGGCCCTTAGTTACTATTTTGACCTGAGAAACGAGGTGAATGGTAGTTACTGACATGAACAAGATGAAAAGAGGAAAAGTTAGGTGTGGGGTTATTAGTCAAGAAGTTTGATAAATGTTAAATGTAAATGATTTGTTAAATATTTAGGTAGAGAGTGAGTAGGTTGTACATAAATGAATCTGGAGTTCAGGGGGAAGTTAGGCTTGAGATGGGGAGTCAGTATGAACAGTACTAGGTAAAATTATAAGTAATTTTGAAGTATCTGCCTTGTGTGTGTGTGTGTGTGTGTGTGTGTGTGTGTGGTGGTGCTTGAGATTGAATCCAGGGTGTTGTGCATGCTTAAGCACAGGCTGTACAACTGAGCTACACACCCACACTCAAGGTGTCTACTATTTGTAAGATTGTCGCATAAATATTGTGGATTTTAAGTAATTCTGGCTCTCATGGAGTTTACAAGCTTGTAGGGGAGGCTGAGATCAAATCTCCAATTGCATAGAAAAATATGTGCTAAAGGAAAAGTATAAGATGGGACCCCAGAGCTTCCCAGGGTTCTAATTTAAGCTGGAAAATTAGGAAAGACTTTCTTGAATGAGTGACTGTTTTAAACCATAATAAATTAGGCAAAATAGCAGGACAGATGCTAAAACCTGAAAGAGAAAGATACTGGCATGTGTGGAACTCTGAAAGGAGATCAGTGTCTGGGAGTATGGACAGGTATGGGTTGTGGTAGGATATTCATAGAACAGGTAGGAGTCACAATTCTGAAGTGCTGGTGAAGACTTTGTTCTAAAGGGAAGACAAAGACATTCTAGGATTGATACTGTATTTGCATTTTTTAAAAAATTACTTAGCTATGATGTGAAAAAATAACAGTGGCATGTAAAAATGCTTAGGCTGGTTAGAAGAGTATTTTTAAAACTTTTTGTCTTAGTTACTTTTCTCATTGCTGAGACAAAATACCTGAGACCCAAAATTAAGGAAAGAAAGGTTTATTTAGCTTACAGTTTGTGGAGGTTTTAGTCCATACATGGCCGACTCCAAGGCAGAGTAGCACATGGCACAGGGCAACCGTTCATGGTGACAGAACAGCAAAGCAACAAGAGCAAAAAGGGAGGAGTGGTGGCAAGCAGCCTCTTTCTCTCCCTTACATATGCAAACTATCCACCCGAGGGCGGAGGTAGCACTCACATCCATAATCCCAGCATTGGATCATGGATCAATCATAAACTCTAAAAGCCTGCCCCCATGACTGCATGAGGCTTTGGGGGGACATGCAGACACAAACCATAACACATTTTAAACCCCCAATTTAATAATATCAGATTAAAATAACTAGTCTCTTCCCACAGTTAATCACCTTCAACTTTCAGTCAAAAACACTATAGTTTGTTTTGTTTTTGTTTTTGAGACAGGGTTTTGCTGTGCAATTCAGGATGGCCTTGGACTCACTTTGTAGTCCAGGCTGATCTTGAACTTGCAGCAATCCTCCTGCTTCAGCCTCAGATGCTGGGATTACAGGCATGAGTCACCATGCCTGGCTAAAAACACTATAGTTTTAAAAGGAAGATTTATGTTGTATTTTACACTTGAGGGTCTGATGTAATTGCAGTAAATATCTGTGTCTTTGGAATGCTGAAGAAATAAATAGTTAACTTTCTGCATTTAGCCCAGTGAAGACTTAGAAGTTCAGTCTTACTCAAAATGTACACAAAATACAAATATACAGGTCCCTGTGGAGGAGTTGAGGACTTTCTTTGATGTCCTGAGCATCTGAGAAATTTTTCCTTCCTCTTAAATTTTCAGCTTTGCTTTAAATAGTGTGATATGCAACTATAGTAACATGTTGGCATCAAATATTTGTGATAACAAGCTACTTTTATCATACAGAAGGGAGTAGGAAGAGTAAGAAAAGTTTTCATTTTCCTTTAGTAAATCAATAAATAATAAATAGCGATTGTACCGTTCCAAAATACTAACTCCACAAACCATCCCGTTGCAGATCTAAGAGTTTCTTCACCACCTTTTGAATGATGGTGCAGGTCTCCTTGCTTGCAGTTGGTTTCATAAACATATGCTGGCCAAAACTGGCAAGTGCTTGATGGAAAATACTCTGGGTTGTGCATCACTTTCCCTTAGGCAGACGCCTCACTTGAGGCAGTCCGATTTATGGTGTTTGGTGTGTAAACTTTGGAGCAACTCTGATCTGCTTCGTGTCTCAGCTTGCTGCTGTTCAGCTGTATTACTTTGCAGATTACTTCTTTGAGCTCCCACTTCTGAACTGTACAACAGAATGTCAGTGCCTGTTTTTCAGGGTTGCTGGGGGAGATCATGAACACGAGGGGTCTAAAGGTGTCCATTACTAGTAGCAGATATTTAACCAATGTTAAGTCTCGTCTCTTCACCAGGTAGATTTGTTTTCCTCCTAAGCAACTTAAGTCCTTGTACAAAGAGAGTAATGAAGCATGTTTTCAAAATTTGCACATGATAGAAATTCAAAGTGCTATTTTAGTTGTTTTGTTATTAAAGAATATGTAGTGTTCCAGCAAAATGTGATAAAGCTTCTGAAATGTGTGAAAGTAGCTGGTAGATGTAGGGACTTCTTTAAAATGATACCGGAATAAACAAGAGGAAAGAAAACCTCAAAACCTAGTCCAAAGTAAAATGCCTCCTTTGGATTTGAGGCATTTAGGAGGTACCTAGGACATTTTGTATATATGTAAACCTTGCTCTTTAAAAAGATGTTCATACAGGTTGTGAGAATGTGTTCTTTTTTGGAATACTTGCTATGCATGCCTCATACTTAACTGTTAGTTACTGTACAACATTTCTTACTCTGTTTTTTCCTTGAATTTGTAGAATACTATATTTAAAAGCTTAATTTCTGCTGTTATAATATTTAAGATTAGTATAATTCCTTAATTCATCATATTGTAGAATATATAAAGTTTTTATATGCAATAGAACTTTCTGACTGACACAGCAGGAAAGTAAATTTGCATTCTCTGTTGAATCTCCAGGTTATTCTCACAGTGAGCTGAAATGGGAGGGCTTCACGTTTCTGATATATGCCAGATCTCTGGTCTTGGTGGAAAATCTAGGGAGTGGTGAAAACAACAGAGTGAGAGAAGGAGGTACTAGAAGCCCAGAGATTAGTTGGGAGATCATTGCAATAGTGAAGGCAGAAAATAACAATGATCAAATTGGGCTGTATTAGGATGTCTGTAGAAATGGAAGGGAGACTAGATTTTAGAGCTGTCGGCTTCACAGGCTAAACTGACTAACTGGTACTCAGACACAAAAATAAGCGCAAGGGTTAAGACCCAGGGGACTTTACAAAGATGGAAAAGGGAATGTGTTTGGGTACCTCTTCGGAATGACTTTAGTCAGTGCTGAAACACTGTATGCAGCCCTAGAAGCCTTTTTTTCCTCATTCTTTTGATCAGAGCTCAGGTTAGATGGCATGTGTCGGGTCACTGTATGTTAGAAGATACTGGTACCTGGTGGTACACTGCCGAGACCCAGTGAGAGGTATATGAAGCTTGCAGGTTCGTTGCATCATCTTTTTAACTAAGTAATGCAAATAACTTTCTAGTCTTCAAGAGACCTATGAAGCCAAAAGACATGAATTCCATGGTGAGCGTCAGAGGAAGGAAGAGGAAATGAAGCAGATGTTTGTACAGCGAGTAAAGGAGAAAGAAGCCATATTGAAAGAAGCTGAGAGAGAGGCAAGTGTGGTGCTTTGCCAGTGATGTGACTTGCATTTATTTTTAGGTGTCATTTTAATTTGGAAGGTTTATCTTAAGAATGTAGTTGAAAAACTTTTGAAGGCTGCATGTCTTTAAAAAGTAGCTATTTTAACACATAGTCTTTGAATACAGACCTAAAAAAAAAAAATCAGAGCCTGAAGTCTTAATTAAAATCTTAGCCAAAAAAAAAAAAAAAAAAAAAAAAAATCACTGGAAGAAAGATAGCGTCTTCAATAAATGGGCTGGAAGAATTGGCTTGCCACCTGCCAAAGACTGAAAAAAAAAAAAAAAAAAAAAAAAAATCTTAGCCATTTGAGCAAATATTCTTCTGTAGGATGGCTTACCAAGGATTTATAATGGACTTGGTTACTAAGAATTATTCTAAATACCTTAATTGTGAGCCATAAACATTTTAGCCATGAATTAAGATTTTTCTGAGAGTTGTTGAAGTTATTTGCGAGGAAATGGGTAACTGAAAGCTATGAAGTAGCTTTCTTTTTTTTTTTTTTTTTTGGTTTTTCTCCAGTACCGGGAACCGAACTCACGACCTTGCACTTGCCAGGCAGGCGCTTTTGCCGCTGAGCTAAATTCCCAGCCCCTATGAAGTAGCTTTCTTCACTTTGGACTCCAGCTTTCTAGTTATAGTTGTGTGGTCTAGATGACCTTGGAATGCAGCCCTGGCCCAAGAAAATATTAGTAAATTTCCATTATTTTGTTTGCTTCTAGTTCTTGAAGCAATACTTTTACTTTTATTAAAGTTAACCTGTATTCTGTTGACCTGTAAATAAATGCAGTGGTGGCTTTTTAAGAAAATGACTGCATTTAGGTTGAGGGTCATTTTGTTGCAAAAAGGAATTGTTAAGAGAAGGCAAATGTTAATATAAATAACACTGATGATGTAAGAGTTCCTGGAAAGTCATCTGTAATTTAATTTGCAAATTTATTATTTCAAGTATGCTTGTAGTACTTGGGATTAAATGACCCCTACAAGAAGTGGTTTTATTAAAGTGAGAATGTACTGATTTATTTGTAATTTGAATTTTAATATTTTATTTTGAAAAAAAATTCTAGAAGTGAAAGCATGGTGAGTCTCCTTCCCATACCTAAGAAGATTAATAGGAATACCGTAATCTCACCTAACACTTATTTTAAAATGTCTTCCCCTTGCAGTTTTTCTGGAAGTTTTAATCATCCTTATGATGTATAAAATACTCTCTAACCTCTCAAGATATTTTAGTATGCATATAAAATAGAAATATCCATTTAAGTGATAGAAATGTGGTCTCTACTCATATAATACAGATCTGTTCCCATCAGCTCCTCTCATGCTTTTACCCTCACTCTGTTCCTCTTCCACACCAAAGAGTAAACACATGTCTCTTTATACCACTGATGTGGTTTTTGTTTCTTTTTTAAGATGCTTAGGCTTGCACCCCAGGCCTACCATGTGCTAAACAAGCGCTCTACCACTGAGCTTTGTACATCAGCCTCCATACCAGTGATCTGAATTATCATGGGGAATCTCATCCTTTTAACACAAGCACTGAACACACATGTGCACTTACTACATTATCTTTACTTAAGCAGGAACCATTTAAGGAAGCAAATACTATACTAAGGACCTGATGCTGCTCTGAAAAAGTGTCCTCTAGGATCAAAATACCTTAGGTTAGAAAAGGCCCTGCTTAATACTTTCAGCTTTATCTCTCTTTTGAGTACTGCTGTAAGGAGCTCACTGGCCCACAGGACTACGTCTTGGTAACATACAATTTTCATTAGGCTAGACTTAGCTCTCTCTGGACTTCTACCTTTATTCTCTGATGTTTAATGAAATATTTCCCCAATTATTTTGTATGATCTTCTCTAAACACCAAGTCGTACTTGTTATATGAATCTTTGATTGCTACCCAGAGCTATAAATATTAATCTTAGGTTTATTGATCTAGACTTTGCTGTTATATATGTGTTGACAGGTACAGCCATAGTCTATTGGTGTGGAGCCCAAGGGACTTGGGTCCCTTAGGTGGTGGTTTGGAAGGTAGATCGCAGTCTAGCCAGACCAACCTGACTTTGATCTTCCTGCGGCACCCCCATACTTTGTACCGTATCTTGTAACTGGTTCTCTAACACATCTTGTAGAAGAGGCTGAAGTAGAGAGAGGGAAGAAGCAGACGTCACCTCAGGGTGATGTTGTCCACACAGGTCTTGTGCAACATGGATTGCTGAGGCTTTCTTTGTTAGTCATTACAGAAGAGCCACAGGTAGAAAGAGCTAAGCTTTTCTTTTGTGTGTATGTGTGTGGTGTTTTGTTCAGTTAACAATTACTAATGTTTATTGTTTATTCTGTGCCACACATCATGATAAAGTTTTAAGTAAATTTTCTAAACCCCTCTCTAAATTTTTAGGGTTTGTTTTTATCTCTTGTTTCGAAGAGTTTTAGGGCCTTCATACCTTTGAGAAATAATCCCTTTTTAATCCATCTAGGGCATTCTTTTTTGTTGTTGTTTTTCTCCAGTGCCGAGAATCGAACTCACAACCTTGTGCTTGCCAGGCAGGCGCTGTGCTGCTGAGCTAAATCCCCAGCCCCTCAGGGCATTCTTAAAATTGTGGCATAAAACAAAGTTAAACATAGACATGCTTCTAAGGACATTGCTCCCTTTATATGATCTATCAAGATGATTTTTAGCCCCAAGGAAATGAAAATTTACTGGATCATATTTTTCCTCCTACATTCTTGCTTTTTTCATTTAACAAGAGAAATCCCATGTTATAATGTTATAATCTTTAGTAGAACTCATTTTAGTGGCTGTGTAGAAGAGTAATAACCCCATAGATTGATAGTTGGATCAAATCCCTTGTTTTGAGAAAAACAAGCAAGTTTATTGACATGTGTTTTTTACACATACATGAGAGGCAGTGAGGGCCTATCTTCTCAATCATCTTGAACTCAACAGTCTTTCATATTTTATTTTAGAATAGGATATTCCAGTCTCCCATTCTTAGCCTAAATTTATTCTTTTGACTTTATCTCTGTTGGATATGTGGATTTTTTTTCTGAATATAGTATAATATCTACTGCAATGAGTATTTTTATATATAAAGCTTTCTCTGATTTTAAGATATCATTTAGTTTTGATTTCAAGAAGTTGTTGAATTGATACAGGACATGCAAGGAAACTTGCTTCACTGATAATGGAAATTAAAACAGGCAACAACACAAATTTACAAGCAAAAGCTTTGAGAAGGAAGAAAAAATAAGAAGGAAGATAAGCTGAAAAGGGTACCACTCTGATGGAGAAAATCAGGCTGGCCCATTTACTAAAGAACTGGCCCAGCTTTTATGGCATCTCTGGGATGGGCTAAGGTCTAGTAATGATCTGATGAATTATGAGCATGATGTTTCTTGAAACTTCTCCATGTTTGAAGGGATTTCCTTTCTGTATAGGCTATGTATTAGCAGCTGTTCTGACCCTTGGAGACATTCTGGTCCTCTCTGCACTTAGAGCACACCTGATCCTTACAGTAAGGGCAGACAGATAAGGGGAAGGTGCACTCCCTACATTGTCAACAAGGAAGGATAGGGAAAGACATGTCTCTCTGGGGAAGGGTAAGGATCATAGATTTGCACCAGATGGAGTCCAGCAAGTCCCCCTGAAGAGGATATGGAGACCTCAACTCACCTTATCCACAGGGTAGGTTGTAGGTTCGCTGACTTACATCATACAAAAGAGTTAAAGGACACACTAGTTGTGGGCATAGAAACATTTCTTAGGCAGTAAAAGGAGTGCGGGTGCTCATAGGGTAAATGCATGTGGTCTGAGACAGGAGGTTTTATGTGTTCGGGGCATGACCTCAAAATATCTAGGACGGGTATTCCTAGTGTCTCAAACCATTTGTATGTGTTTGAAGTTTAGAGACACTGCCTATTTAATAATGCTGTTTCCTTGATGATAGAAATCTAAGGGATTTGTGAATCAGAAGCACAGGCCCAATTTACAGGCAGTTAAGGTCCTTTTGTTTTGCTTTGTTTTGTTTTTAAGTGAGTTTTCTGGAAGGGAAAAGGGCACAGTAACTTTGTGTCCTGAAGCTGCAATTTTCTTAAAAGTACAATTTAAAATTAGGATTTTCCTGTCTTCTTTCTCCTTACCTTGATTTCTTCTCCCCTACTTCAGATTAGAGGCCTGAGTATCCCTGTCTTTTTGTCCCCATGAGAATCCATTTCCTACTTCAGAATGACTGTAAAAATGTGATGCAGTTTTAAAGTTCTTAACATAAACTGACAGTTGACTTTCTTTCCAGTAGGGTTTACCCGTATAATTTCAAAACCTTTCTTATTACAAATGTTTTCTTATTTATTTATTTATTTATTTTGGTTTTGGTTTTTTTTCTGGTACCAGGAATGGAACTCACGACCTTGCACTTGCCAGGCAGGTGCTGTGCCGCTGAGCTAAATCCCCAGCCCCCTTATTACATATGTTATCTTTATGTAGAAAATAATTGGTTTTCATTATTTCCTTCTGTGTTTTATGTCCCTTATTTTTATTGCACATAGATTTAAGACATTGTTGAAAAAATGTAAAGCAAGAAGATAACCCTAGGAAAAGATCAAATTTTGTTCACAAGGCTGTGGCTTTTATTACATTTAGTTCAAGCAATTTTTGCAGAAATTTCTGTAAATTTTAAGTTACCAAGGTTGTTACACTTGTGAACTGTTGCTTGAAGCGATTTGGAAATTGGATGATTGTGGCACGCCTGAGCACATGCCTGTGTTTATGCTGCCACCTCATGTCAGCAGTTGGAATTGCACTTTTGTGTCACAGCTGCAAGCCAAATTCGAGCACCTTAAACGAGTTCACCAAGAAGAGAAAATAAAACTTGAAGAAAAGAGAAGAGTTTTGGAAGAAGAAATAATTGCTTTCTCTAAAAAGAAGGCTGCCTCTGAGATACTCCAGAACCAGTCCTTTCTGGCATCAGGTATAGGCATGAAGAAGGACAAGGACCGTAAGAAGTAAGAGTCCCTGTCCGTAAAGCCCCACCCTGCACCTTCTGTCTCCTGACCCTGTTTGTTTTTGTTTTCTTTGCTGATTGGCTTGTTGTTTTGTAGTTCTGGAGCTCAAACCCAGGGCTTGGTGCATGTTAGGCAAGTACTGTACCACAGAGCCCTCACCCAGCCCTCCTGGCCTTCTCTGATCTTCCTAGCACTTCTATTTACCTTCTTCCTGTCCATCTTCTGCACTGACATAGCAGCTCCTTGAGAGTACAGACCTCATCCCTCTCATTCACTGCTGTTTTCCAGGTACAAATTAAGTGCTCAGTAACTGTTTCCCAAAATGAATGAATGAACAAAATAAAAAACGTTGCAGTACAAAAGAGTCAGTTAGCTGGGGAAAAAAACAAGCTGCTCTTTACAGCCCAGCCTTGGCTCTAGAACTCATCTAATGACTGTTGACTTATCTTGAGCAGTTTTGAATTTTATGTATAAATGGAAATTGCATTTCATTGGTGAATCCTTGAAATAAAATGATAGTTTATGTAAAAATCCTAATTCTTAGGCTCATTTTTTAACCAGATTTACTTATCATTAGTTTTGTGAGAATTTCTGCTTTTATAAGGGGACCAAGCTCTTGATTAGAACACTGATACTTTGATGTCAGAGCTTGTGAAACCAGAAGCAGAAGAAGGTAGAGAGGACCACAGTGGGGGCCATGGTGGCTACTGGATCAGTCTTAACAAACTGCAGTTGCCATTTATACATAAAATTCAAAACACCCCAAGTAAGTCAACAGTCAACTGAGTTCTAGAGTCAGTTCTGGGCTGGGAAGTAAGGGCAGCCTGTTTTTCCCCCAGCTAACTGTTGAGCCTCCAACCTCATTGGTTGGAGGTTTAGAAAATAAGGGTTTTATTCCTTTTTAATAATTTTTTAATGTACTTTGTGTCCCTCATTTTATTTTTTGCACTTAAAATATCTCTGTCAGTTTACCTGTTCGACTGTAGTGACAGTCATCATGACTTGTGTGTTCCAAATGCTCCTTTGTCAGTCCTGCCTCAGTTTATTCCACCCACCACTCCTCAGCAGGGTCATGTCCTCCTGTGTTCCACACAGTAGAAGACATTTGCATTAATGTTCTCAGTGCCTGTGTTTCATGGAATTATTTGTCAAAAGAATCTGTATGATGGTATAATAGCTGTATTTGATTCAAACATTGAATTTCAAAAGGTAAACTGTAAATATTATTTAGTACTGCCTTAAACCACAATTTGACTTATAAAGCCATTGAATTGATTAATTTCTTACTCTTTTGTCTTAATCCAATGTTTCTAAAATTTGATTCTCCAGTTCTTCCCATGTAGAAATGAAAATTTACGTTTACTTGTAAAAATTGTCACTGTTTGACTTGAGAGCCATGCATTATTTGTAAATTCAGAGTCAAGCCCACAGATTTTCAAGAGCTCAGAATTACCCTTAACAAAATATAGCTTGGTGTGTTTTGTTTTTTCTTCTTTTTTCATTGTCCCATAGCTAAATATCCTATAATATGATAGATGTATATTTGCTCATTCTGTAAAAGCCTTCTAAAACTAAAGATTCTGGTAATTTTTTCTTCCTACATTGTTTTTTATGGTACTAATCAAAAGGTTTTTTTTTTCTTTTTCCAGCTCCAATTTTATGTAATACAGGAGTACCAGAGTGCAAAAGGCCATCACAAGCAAGAGTTGTTTTTATTTGTCACCACTGATTCTATATATCTGGCAGATGGACATAGTTACTGACATTTATGGTAAAATATTTTCAAATATAAGGCCAATACGTAAGCCAGAGTGGATGATACTACTTATATATTCACTATTGTTAGAAATCTCTAAGTTGCTATTTTTTGATAAATCTAGATGTCTTCTCCTGCTGCCAGATTCTTGTTTTTTTGCATGCATTATACCAAAGAGCAAGACTTAGTGCCGCTGAAAATGCAGAATACCTTCACATTATGACTGATTGCATTTATATTCCAAGATGAACCTTCTTTGTGATACACTAAACAAAAAAATTGGAGGAATACATTTTGAAATGGATTATAGCTAAACTCTAGCCTCTCAGATGTTTTATAGAACTAAGTTTTTACACAATTGATAAGTAGCATCCTAGGCTTCTGTGTCAAATCATATAACATGATAACCACTTTTATGCTTCAGTATGCCTTGTCGTGGTCAACATACTGCTGCAGTAAAACAAAATATGTTCAAGAGCTTAAAACCTCCAAGTCTATAGGCCCTTTTATTTCCATTAGTCTTTCTTACATACTTATTTAAAACTATCTTGGAGGAGGAAAATAAGTTGAATCATTTGTATTAAAAGTATTTCTTAAGAAATTAACTATGAACATTTTAATGTTAAATATACAAAAGGTCTGATAAGTCATGTTTCAGGGAATATTTGTATTCAGTGCCTTAGCATTCACAGAGTATCTTAATGGATTTTAACAGTCACAGATTTATAAATTTTCATTTTTTTATACTTGGGTATTCTAAATAAAACTGATACTCTTGAGAAAATATATCTGCGTGTTTACTAAAATATGTTTAAGTTACTATTTAATTTGACAAATAATTTACATTTTTATGGGGTACAGGGTAGTATTTCACTACTTACATGTTCAAAGTATAATGATCAGATCATGGTAATTGGCATATCATTTACCTCAAACATTTTTCAGGGTGTGTGTGTGTGTGTATGCTGAAAACTTTCAAAATTCTCTTTACTATTTTAAATATGTTAATTACTTATTACAATAATAAGTTAATTACTTATTAAAATAAAATATTAAAGTATTAAATTAACTACTTAATTTAAAATATGCCTAATTACTGTCCACCTTACTGTGGACAGTCACCCTACTGTGCTATAGACTGTTGGGAGGTATCCTCTTAACCAACTGCACCCTGTTGCCCATTAGTGACTTTCTCTTCATTCCTCCATCCCCAAAACCCTTCCCAGCCTCTCATCACCACTATTCCGTTCTTTACCTCTATGAGACCAGTCTTGTCAGTTTCCACATGTGCAGGAGAACATACAGTACCTATCTTTCCATGCTTGGTGTCACTTAACATAATGTCCTCCTGTGTTGCTCTAAGTGAGTGTTTCATTCTTAGGACTAAATAATACTACGCTGTGTGTATGTCCCATATTTTCTTTATCCAGGCATCCATGGATGGGCACTTGGGTTGATGCACATCTTGACTGTGGTGACTATAGCTGCGAACATGGGAGTACAGATGTTTCTTGATATATTCATTTCCTTTTATTTTTCCTTTTATTTGGTCTTTTAACTCATTTTATTTGGCTATATATTCAGTAGTGGAATTACTGGATCATATGGTAGTTCTATTTGCGGTATTTTTGAGGAAACTCCTTTCTGTTTCCATAATGGTTATACTAATTTACATTCCAACCAACAGTATAGAAGAGTTCCCCTTTCTGTATGTCCTATCCAATGTTGTTGTTGTTTTTGATGTTATATAATAGCCTTTCTAGCTGGAGTGAGATGATACCTCATTGTCGTTTTGATTTGGATTTCCCTGATGATTAATGATGTTCAGCACTTCCATATACTGTACTTATTGGTCATTGGTATGGCATCTTTTAAGAAATATCTATTTAGATCATTTGCTCACTTTTCAGGTTAGTTTTTTGGGGGTATTGAATGAGGTTTGGCTTCCTTATATATTCTAGATATTAGTCCCTGTTGAAATAGTTCGCAAATATTTTCATTCCTCTCGTCTAATTTTAAGAGGTGGTCTTTTAACTCTGTTGATCATTTCCTTTGCTGTGTAGGAATTGTTAGGTTGACATAATGCCATTTGTCAATTGTTGCTATTGTTCCTTATGGTTGTGGAGTTATATTTAAAAATTCTTTGCCCAAATTGATGACCTAAACTGAGTCCCCTCTGTTTTCTTTTAGTGGTTTCATAAAAGTCTTTCTTCTTTTTTTTTATTTGATTTTGGTATACAAGGCAAGTGATTGAGTGGTTTGTTCTTCATGTCGATATTTAATTTTCCCAGCACTATTTATTCAAGAGATTGCCTTTTTTTCCAATGAATGTTTTTGCTACCTCTGTAAAAAACCAGTTAGCTATAAATACGTGAATTATTTCTGGCTACTCTGCTATGTTTCATTGGTGTACAAATTGGTTTTTAAGCTTGTATCATGCTGTTTTGGTAAATAGCATGTTTTGAAGTCAGATACTTAAAATGACGCCATCTGTGTTCTCTTTGCTCAGAATTGCTTTGGCTATTTGGGTTCTTTTCTGGTTCCATGTGAACTTTACAAGTGTTTTTTTGTAGTTCTATGAAGACTGTCATTGGTATCTTAATAGAGATTATTTAGAATCTGCAGATCACTTGGGGTAGAATGGACATTTTTTGTTTTTGTGTTTTTGAGACAGGGTCTCACTATGTAGTCCAGGCTGGCCTTGAGCTCACTGTGTAGCCCAGGATGGCCTCGAACTCACAACAATCCTCCTGCCTCAGTCTCCCAAGTGCTGGGATTACAGATATGCACCACCACACCTGGCAAGAACGGACATTTTAACAGTACTTTCTAATCTATAAATATGTGATACCTTTTTATTTTTGTATGTACATCATCTCAAATTCCTTTCACCACTGTTTTATAGTTTTTATTGTAGGGCTCTTTCATTTCCTGATTAAATTTATTCCTAGGGGACCTTTTTTGTAGCTATTCTAAATGGGACTTCTTTTTGCTACTTTATTACTGGTCTGTAGAAACACTACATATTTCTGTGTATTGTTCTTGTATCTTTAGTGAATTCTCTTTGAAAGAAATAAAAACTTAAAGTAGTCTATTTTCAGCATAAGGTCTTTAACTTTGAGCGGAAAAGCTCTTTCCTGAGGACATGACTGAGGTCATGTGGCTGAGAGGGTATCTAAACAAAGCAGGGAGAGTAGATAGTCAATAAAGTGTGGAATTCACTCTGACTGGAAAAGCACTGGCAGTTAAAAAATTACCCCCTGTAGTTTAATCATTTGCTTTTACAACCCACAGAATGTTTACAGAGGGAGCAGGTTAAGGTTAGGCATCGTATTCTGGGTTGTGTCAGTCTGTTAGACTGGCACTTATTCTTGCAAGATCGAGAAATAAATAAAAAGTTTAACTTTTGCTGCTCCCAGTTCTCTGTCTGATCAGACTGTTTCACAGAAAGGTGACGAGGGGTTGGTTCCTCACATCATGTGTGTGTACATATGTAGTTTTTAAAAGCATGTCATCTGCAGGGTTAGGGACTTACTCCTTTTCAGTTTGAATACTCTGTGTTTCTGTTGCTTCATTGTCTGCTAGGACTTCCATTATTGTGTTGCATAAAAGTGGTGAAAGTGGACATCTTTGTCTGGTTTCAGACCTTGAAATGTTTTCAGCTTTTCCTCGTTCAGAATATTACCTGTGGTCTTGTCGTGCATAGCATTAATTGTATTGAGATATGTCCTTCTGTACCTCATTTGTTGAAAGTTTTTGTCGTGAAAGGATATTGAATTTTATTAAGTGCTATTTCTGTATTTGTTGGGATAATCATTATACTAATTCAATTTTGTTGCTCATTACTGGTCTATTTTCTGTTTCTTCATGGTTCAATCTTGGTAGGTTGTATATGTCCAGAACTTACGTATTTTTTCTAGGCGTTCCAATTTCTTGGTGTGTGGTTGCTCATAGTAGTCTTTAATGGCCCATTGTATGTACGGTTTTAGCTATAATGTCTCCCTTTTCATCTCTAATTTTTTTAGGCTGTTCTTTTTTTTAGTTTAGCTAAAGGTTTGTCTATTTTGCTTATCTTTTAAAAAAATACTGCTTTTTTGTTTATTTTTTAAGTCTCCATTTCCTTTATTTCTGCTCTGAGATTTATTATTTCTTCACTTCTACTAATTTTGAGTTTGGTTTATTCTAGTTCCGTGAGTTGTTATGTTTTTTATTTTAAATCTTTCAACTTTTTTATGTAGGTGTTTGCTGCTGTAAATTTCATTTTTTATTATTGCTTTTATTGTATCATATAGTTTTTGGTAATTGCATTCCCATTGTCATTTATTTAAAAAAACTTTAAATTTTCCTTTAAGTGTTTTTGTTAGCATGTTGATCGTTCAGGGCAAGTGTTATTTAATTTCCATGTACTGGTAGAATTCTCACAGTTCCTTTTGTGTTAATTTCTAATTTGATTCCATTATGGTCACAGAATATACCTGGTTGCTAAAACTTGGGTCTGGAATACCCAACGTCTCTGTGTCAAACCTGGATCCCCATCTTAGTGCTACTTTAAGAGATAACACATATCTTTAGTCCTGGGTCAGTGGGGTATTGCCCAGAAAGGATATTAACTGTTGGACCCTGGTTCCTCCTTCTCTCTTTTGCATCCTAGCCATGAAGTGAATGACTTTGCTGTACCGTGTGTGTCTACCGTCATGTGTTCCTTGGGGTGTTGTGCTTCCTTGTATTTTCCTGTTTCTTGTGTGTCAGTTTTTTTTTTTTTTGGAAAATAAAAGAAAACACATAAACAGACAAACATTTGCAAAATAGCAAAAGAATAATACAAATAATACAGAGTTACAAACAAAGGGGTAGGAAATTAACAATGCTTGTATTACATATGGATATCTTCAAGGTGGTTTCTCAGGAAAACTAATAGAGATATGCACTATTGATCAATCAAGTAATCATTATTGTGTCTCAGTATTGATACCTGGACATGTGACACAAACAGCTGCCTTTTCTCGCTGAGTTGCTGACTGGTTTCTGGTGGACAGGAGCTCAGGCGACAAATTGGCATGAGTCTGGGTGAGCTGGAGTGCACTTATTCCACATAGTGATCTTCCAACCTGCCCCATGAGCTTTGGACTCCACCTGAGAGTTTAAGATTTGCACTAGGAAGGAAAAAAACTATTGCACTATAAATTCAAGTTCTATGTTACGAAGCTAATTTATTCTCAACAATTTGTAGGAAAAGAGATATTGGGGTGCTGGAAGGAATTAAGCTGGGGCAGGTGGCTCTAGAGAGAGTACAGTCTAGTCCAGTAATTAACCCTGGGTATACAGTAGGGTGACCTAAGAAGTATTCAAAATATCCTGACAAATGAATAATGAACACAGTAGCTATAGGGGTAGACCCAGATGAGTGATGACTGTGTGAAATGACTACAGTGTCCTTGAAGTTGAAAATACGCAGAGAATTTTTTTAAAAACAGTACAGGCATGAAAGTTAGGAGGGTAGATAAATTGAGTGATCTAACTTTATTGCTTTAACTAGAAAGAGGATAAAAGTTCCAATCAACCAGGTTAGTCAAAGCGCTGTGTCACAATTGCCAGAGTAGCCCCTAAGCAAGGTAAAGCATGTAACTTCCAGGCTAATAGAAGGGAAGCTGATGTAACAAAAAATGAAAATCCAGAAGAAAGCAGGAACATGGAGAAAACAGAATAAGTATGACAACCAGAAAGCACATAGCATTATGGTGGATATAGATCCAAGTATATCAGTAATTACATGGACTACACACTCT